GAGGTAGATAGCATTAATGAATGGTCGACCAGGAACCGACTGCGTTTGAGCACAGCTAAGTGCAAGGTTGTCCGTCTGCGTCACAATCCTGTATACCACCACTTGCAGAAGGCCTACCAGGAACGTGACATGGCTTTACTCGCACAGGACTATCTCGCATGTCCAAAACAAGCAGCAAAGGTATCGAGAATCGGCAATTAAGACTTTGGCCTTCTTCAGGGAGCATTCGGTTGGTGTGAACCCTCAATCTGCCCCCAAATGCGTAACGCCAACGTTTGACCACACGTGGAATATGCTACGCAAGCGTGACAGCTATGGAAGAAACAGGATCTCGTTTTTCTCATTTCTCCTTAACGAAAGGCAATCAAGAACTTCAGGATCCTCTTTCATCTGCTGTATCAGCTTAGACTGAAATCACTAAGAATGTACAGCGATCGATATCGGTGTTAGCGGGGGCTCTCATAATGGTGTTCGAGATTCCGAGGACAGTAAACCACATGTGCCGCTTACTAGTGGAGCTGAATCACAATACTTAATTAAGAGGTCATCTCCTGAATTTGACAATACAGTATAGCCGGCTTGAATGCCATAGAAATTGAAATTCCCTCGGAGCGTGTCAGCTTTGGAACGCTCTCCAAACTTACGTCATTTCTGCCCCTAATCTGACGATATTTAAAAAAATAATTAACGATGCGTTGTCTCCTTTGCATTTCATTTTCTGATTTCTTAGCCAGGAGGCTACAAAAGGCAATCAAATGGTGTCTTACCAAGCTCTTAACCAATTTATGGATTCGTACTTTTAATATGCAAACATTTCCGCTGTTCTACATAAGTCTATTGTGAGTCCACCTAAGCTCTCTTCACTTTAGCATGAAACTGTAATTTTGCAATAATTTCATCCCACGTGACTTGTTACGCATTCCATATTTACTCGCAATACATCATTGTTCCATGTTTCCAAGAAATCACTTGCTGATAGACTACCTCTGTGAGTGGAGCAATCAAGCGGCTCATGGTGGTTATAAGCTCATCGTTGAGATCAGTTCAATCCAAAGGTTAGGGCTTTAACTTTCAAATGTTTTTGACCAGTCTTGATCTCGATACAGAACTGCGCCGTTTTTTCAGTATTTAATTGTGCAATGACACAACGGACGGATATTTGTCAGACATGAAGCCTTCTCTTTGAATAGTGGGAAGCAGCCCACCCAAGAATATCTGACACTTGTGATGAATGATAGCCTGAAGTTTACTTCACTTGAGCAAGTCACTGGTTTGGGCATCCAGACTTAATCGATGGATAGACTCTGGTACGCTTGCTTCTGTCATGAGATTGTCTAATCTTTCCGATAAGTTATACAGGTGGCCGGAAATTTGCCGGTCATTAGCCAGCTGTGATCGACTAACCCACTGAAAACGCTAGTACCGGCCATTTACATGTAGGCTTTTGTCGAAATTTTAAAGAGAGTGCCTTTGCTATTATCCAATTACCGCAAGGTGTGTATGTCATATTTAACACATATGTATCAAGTTCCTATTCTAATGTGGGCGGTACGAAAGAGCCGCCGCTGAACGTGACTTGTCATTTACGGGCCAGAAATATTCCGGGATTATTTATTATGAAACAAGTGCAAGGGAAAACTCAGTGCTGTTGAGTAGATAGTGCTACCATGAGGTTGCAAACAGTAGTTTTCGATGAATTTCCAAACCACTGCAAACTTTAGCGGCCAATATGGAGAATAATTCATGTTATACTCACAACTCCAGCTCGAAATTACAATTTGTTCAGTAGATCAACATATACAGGGCGCTAGCGTTTTCCTGGTTTGCTTTAAGAAGTAAGCGGGTTATGCATGAAGGCAAGCTGAAAATACTTTTTTCTGGTCTATTCAATATTGTGAAGGAGATCACAGTAGGCTTGTATAGAAGAAGGCCAACAGCACAAGAATCATTAACGTAGCACACTTTGGTGAGTACGAACTAGTATCTGTCTGCCGTTTGTATCAATGGACTCTTCTTCTGAATGGAAGGGAACTAGCTGTTGACACCTAAATAAGACGTACACAGCTTCGGTTTTACAATATGCATGTTTAATTGGTTTGCTTTGGATTGATTTCGCTGGATGTGAATATATCCACTGATGATGTCAAGAAATCTGCACCACGACGAAATTGCTCTACCTGGCCGAATTAGTTCGCATTCCCAATGATCTTGCGTGCTCCCACTGAAATTGTCCATCAACGATACAATTTAGTATTTGGGACCATTTTCAACTGTAGAACATGTGCATTATGAAAACAGCCGAAAGGTTAACAGCGCGACTGGCTTCCAGCGCGATAATCTCAGATAAGTAGTTTAACTTCCTGGGCCTGCTAATTGTCGCTTTATCACTTGCCCAGGGGTACTTGAGGCAAGCTACGGCGGGTCATCATCATCATTAGTTCTGCTGTCAGCGCATAATTGGATCTTATGGCAATTTGCCGTGTGACCATTTGAATTGTTACAACTAGAGTTAAAGCTCCCAGGTGCACACAGTTCGCCGTGCTCCAACCTTAAAGACTCCGATCTTGGCTTACCCTAAGAACCGCTGGTGATCACCATCCTTGCCAAGCAAAGCAAATGGGCAAGTTCTTGGAAGATACTTGGAACCCTTCGAGTAGTCATGAGTTCAGAGCGGTTTGAAAACAATCTGTTGGTATAATAGTTTGGTAACGTTTCGCCCTCAACACGAGAGCTTCGTCAGACCAGGTGAATCAGTGTGCAATTGGTGCGGGATTTTATAGCGAACAGGGGCGGTAACCGCGTTACCCGAGACTTGAGTCATGATGTCATTACAGTAAAAGTTGGTGATGTCCCCTCAGGTAGTACGATCACAGTGGGAATAGTCCAGGTGTCCCTTTGTGCGTCATGACAATGACGGATAAACCCATAGTGTTGACAATGGGACTCGGTTAGCACTTTCCAATCTGATCCACGCATCGATGCTCGTCAAGCTGGCTGTCTTAAGACCGCCCGCCACGCATTAGGGCGTTAAACCCCCTCCATTCTATTCACGCAGTCGTCAGGTTTGGCAATTTCCACCGCCTCGGCAATCAACTGCTGAGTGGTTGATGGTATACCCCGCCTACTGACCTCTACGTTTTCGAGGTCTATCTGGTGACCCGTGTCTAATGCATGCACAGCTACGGCCGAGTCTCTTACTATTGCCTGGTATTCAAACTCGTTTCTTGGTAGTCTTGAAATGCGCCTCCTATGCTCCGAAATTCGTGTGCATAATTCTCTCGCTGTTTGGCCTATGTACACATGTGCACAGTTAGTTGTCCTGTCCTTGGAAGGGGGTCCTTCAGGTGTACCAGCGCCGAACGTACCGTTCGACCTGGCTGAAAGATCACCCATATATTTTCCCTGTTTAATACCCTCCGAATTGCCTCCGAAGTGCATTACCTGTACGGAATTCCGACCTCCCGTATCCACTCGGCTGGAGATCTTGACTGCCGGTATAGCACTTTATGCAATTGCCGTTTGACAAGCCGCCGTGGGTAACCACTTTCTAATAGTTTGCTTATTGTCACTTTCCGCGCAGCGTTTTTTGTCCTCCTCCATCGTGCAAGTATATTGGATGTTGTGGGAGTGTAGTTAAACTGACATACTCTGTGTTTGAATCACTTTGCCGTAAAAGAACTTTGTTGTCACCGTGACAAGAATCGAACCTCGGCGTGGAAGTCACCATTTAGACTCACATACAACATTCGACTATAGGGCTAGTTAACATAGGGCGTTTGGGCATACCACCACAAGTGGTATGCAATGAGATTGAATTTGAAGACCTTCTGGAAACTAGATCACCAGACAGCAATAAAACTCCTACCTAAGCCTCAGTGTTTCAGACAATGACTAAGAATCTTCTCAGAATGGTTACTGTTCCTGCGAAGCATGCGTTGATTATTTTCCGTATAGTTATAAAAATCGGATCAGTGTTCAATTTACACCCAGTGTCCATGGAATAGTTCGCTTCCTTGGTGTCAGCGCACATCGTCATCAAGAATAACTGGATCCAGTCCCACATTCAGCTCAGAAAATTCCCGAGTACTATTTCAAACAACCAGCAGTTGTTAATGCTAGGGAATGCAATGAAGGTATCAGAAATATAAGAAATAGAGCACAAATTGTCAGTGGGAGGGTCTACAAGGGTGCTGAGACAAGGGCAACGTCATATAAGTTGTTAAGAAGAAAGCGCGAACTATACTGTATATCACGGAGTGCCGACGTCCGTCATCGGTGGGAACAAGCAATTGTGGTGTTGAGAAAGAATTGCTGATCAAGGCATGAATTTGTTCTTGTGTTGGTGCGCTTGGGGGGAGATATTGTGTCAGAAGAAACCAGTGATATAGGAAAACGCAATCTGTGCGTAGACGGAAGCAAAACCGGTTATTGGGCACTGGTTTAATTGAGCAATGAGTCAACGATTTGTAGAAAGAAGCATATGAAATGAAAGACATCTGGGTGATTCCGAAGCGACGTTTCTCCCCCGGAACAATTCTGTAGGTGGCATTGTGGACCACACGGCTCTGACACCATTGAAGTCAGTAGCTTAACACGCATCGGACAGCTCCTGGTTTATACAAGAATGGTAAGATACACTACTGAGGGCCTCACATTGTACGGGTCTTGGAATGAGTGATGTACCTCGAGTGGTGTGTCCAGGTGTGGGGCCAAAACCTGGTTTGACAGGTGCTGAACGTTCATTGTCCTCTCGCCGTTGCTCCGAAGTACACCACCATGGTTGGTTACCAGCTATTTTGTATTCAGCGTCTGCAGTTGTGTGAGTTTTCCGCAAGCAGCTTGAAAGATAGACTGCTGATTTTCGTCGCTCCGGGTGATTTCTTGAGTACTTTACATCAGATGATCCTGAGGCTGGTGTTTGAGTAACCTCATGGGTCAGTTGCGTAGTGGACTTTGACAGGGCGCCATCTAACCGGTTATGACCACCCCCTTCTGATCGATCAAGCTGGGGAGTGCGTGATGTTATTACCCGATGAGCTACTAGATTAGTGGAACTCTTGGACCGTTGAAAGTTCGGTCTTACTTCAGGAATAGCTTTGCTACGCGATGTTTGGTTTTCGAGCCTTGGAACATTCTTCGACACATTTGTCTCTCGTTTAACGCCTGATGCAGAATCAGCAATGGCATGTGCTCTGTGTGAGGGTTTAGAAGAATCATCGGTGGAATGGTGTTGCTTACTATTCCGTGACTCAGGCAAACATTTTTGAGGTATACGCTGTTCCACAGCTTGATATTTTCCGCTTACCATCGATGTTCGCTTGTTCAGCTGACCACCTACCTATAACAGAGAAGACAAATAGACACTTTCATGCCGTGCCACAGAGTACATACCAACACGGTTTATGTTGCCACTCAGTTTTGGTATACACATCGTCCAATCAACACCGGGTAGAAACCAAGGTGATAAGTTTCGCATCTCTATAGTGAACATCTCATATTTTTGACAACAGTACAGAAGTACAGCTTTGAAAATTCCAAGGGTTATGCTAATTTATTGTTTACGGTACGACAATAAATAAAACGAAAGATATAAAATGTAACCCTCTTACTTTCGAATGCTATGGACCTGGCGTCTAGTGTGAGGAAATTATGACACGGTGGCTAGCCACTGTCATTTGCATTGGTAGAAACCTGCGTGGCAGTGGAAGGCAGGTCGTGCTATTTCCTAGTTAGCTTGCAAATTATGTAGCTCAGCCACCGTCCCCATGGCTTAGTGGCTTAAGCTGCTGGCTACTTGGAATCTGCCTCTAGTGGTCATGGGTTTGATCCTACTTAGAGGACCGAGAGAATACGCACCATTGACAAACCCTAATATGGCGAATGGTGTCTGGTGCTTTTCCGGAGATGAGTTTTTATATGTGGCTTGTGAGCTGCTGGGATAAATACCGTAAGAATACAACGCAACTAAGAATACAGTTGATATAATTGGCCTTCGACTGAACTGATCCGGTTTGGATATTTAGCGAAAGCAGAGCCTAGCAGGTGGTTGACGGTTTACCTGAACTGCGAGGCTGATTTCATTACGATATATCAGACACGGCTGATGTCCTGTGGTCATGGTGCTATTTGCCAAATACAAGGTGTCTTCAAACGCACAAAAGGTGACTTCTGTATCTCAAATATAGGATAATGGGATCTCATGTGCACATCTACAGTATGAACAAATATAGCGGGAGACCCTGCACTGAAAAGATAGGCAATTTATGCCTTACACGCCAATGTACAACATCATTGTACTACCCACTTGGTGCTGTGTGACTTCCATAACGACAGTGGGGAATAATCCCCGTTGTGCGTGAACATGTATGCACAGAAAGCAGCTTGAATCTAGTCACGGTGATCGGAATAGTGGTATTGGAATTCAAAGTCAACCGTGATCCCAAATTGGATTGCGTATCGCAATTCGTACACACAGCGATTATCCCAATAACAAGCAACGTAATTCTAACCGCTGTGACAACCCATGCTACCGGAAGTTTGGCTTAGTGACGAAGATGTTAGCAGTCATCCACTCGGTTGGCCTTCCCTCTCAACGCAAGCTGTCTCTACCTGACGAGTCTAAATCAGGACGAAACGAGTCGTCCGTGAAGTGCAGTGTTGCGAGAAAGTAACTTCGAAACTCTCCACGGCGGATGCGGTCCCAGTGATCGAAGTGACACAGCTAGGCTTGTAAGTAAACTGTGGCCATGAGCATGATTGAGTGCCGAAATCCAGATTCTCAAGGCAGGCACTCTAAGACCCCATAATGAACTTTTAACCGCTGTGTCAAGGTCTGATGTGGTTATATGATCTAGGGTCCACAACGATAGCCGTCAAACACTGTGTTGGGTTTCCTCCTCAGCTCAAGCTATCTTGCGAGTCCAAATAAGGACGAAACCGGTCGGTCTTGAAGTGCAGTGTTGGGAGAAAGCGACTCCGAATCTCTGCACTTCGGATATGGTCCAAAGAAATGAAATTGCAGTGGTTTACTCCAGAGCAAACTGTAGGCCTAATTGATATAGCGTGTCCCAAATCAAACACTCGGTGTGTACTTCATAACCTAACAAGGAAATTGTAATGGATGCATAAATGATACCTGATGAATAGTCTATGCCATTCTTCTTTGCATCGGGTCCCACTCTTCCTACAGGCTATCTCAATTGGAACAGTCGAAACTAGGACAAAAACATTTGTGGAGTTAACAATACAGATTAATTATAAATGATTTATTGGCACAGGGGATGACCGAGTTAGGCGTTACCGAGCATCATTGGGTTGATAATGTGTTGCTGGGGCTAAGCCTAACGATTATGTGTCGAATTACAGACCTCTACACTTAGCATCAAAATACTTGACTTGCTAAGGATCGGCCATGTCGCACAGTGCCTTGCAAATTGGTCCAGATTGCTTCTGGCCTGATGTAAACTGCCGGCAACTTCATCAGAAAGTAAGCTGCAGACCATTGGGCAAACTGAAGCTCATACAAACTAAGCATTCTTTTGGAGTAGAGTACCTTTTCTCTCTGTTAGATGTGTTACAGTCTTTGCATCAATGTTCTGTGGTGAGCTTAAGATTCCGTCAGTTTATTGAAATCTACCAGCCCCACACATTTTAGGATAATTAAAGTTGGCATTTTGGAGTACCTAAATCAACCCGAAAACACCTTCACAGTGATAAATTCAACGACACGTAATGGGCCAGGGCCGAAATGTAAACCTGACAATCAAACGACGCACTAATACATTCACTTATGATGTCTGAGTAACAAAATAACATGTGCAGATGAGGTAAATACACTAATATAGATATAATTTGTAAGTGCTTGCTCCCGATAATGCAATAAGCAAAAACGTTTCGCGACACGAAATCATAACACAGAAGTTCTGTCAACTTTTAGTCCTCAATTAAATCTGATCCGCACCTGTGCACTCATTTCAAAACATGCCACTTCTTACTACAATCGGTTACAAATAATTATATCTGACCTCTTTCCATGGGTTTGTGAAGGTTACGACGATGATCTAGTTCAAACCATATGCTTATGCAACACTGACACGTGTTCTTTATCAGTAAAATAAAGCATTCCATTCAAATTCATTACGCGACACATGTGCTCCCAGCTGATCGTATATGAGGAGCTTCCTATTTTCCTTATCAACTTATAGTTACTGGTTTGTAGATGATTGCGCTATCGTGATCATGCCTATGTAGCTATACCTCGTGTATTTGTGAATAAACTATTGGTTTATGCATTTGTTGGACTAAAAGGCTAAGATAATAACTTCAACGATGGGGTAAATGATATATCCCAGGAGAAAAAGTTGGTAACACAGATTAAATTGTGGCTCATAATAAGCACAAACCAATGTTTCGTACAATTAACATAAGGAACATAACAGTTGTTTTTGGTACAACCCGTAAGCAACATTTCGAAAGCAGGGATATAAGAAATTTTTCAAAGTTTTGATACCCATTCTACGAAATATGCACAACCAACGATTTTATGTCATCTCCATGTACAAATTGATCAGTCCACTCAGTTGGATTGTGTCTCGCACTGTCGAGGAACAAAAAATTTATTTATCTATTCATGCATGAAGAGTATACGAAATTGTATTCTCGCCTGATAAACCGTTAATCAAAGGGTATATGAAATACTCGTCTAAGTGGTCGACTTCTTCTGGGAAGCAACATCCGACAAGTTCTATGTCTGCAGTCCCAAAGGGAAAAATCTTCCTAGATAAGACAACTCAAACAGCGGTACAGTGTCTTGCATGTATGTTAGACGCTGAGGGCTGCATAAGGTTTCCCAGTTTGAGTTAGTATTTCGCAAATTTTCGTATAACTTTCCAAGGACATTTGGCTTGTGAAATGGTGTGTGCCCCACAACTCAGAATACAACGTCATTACTAGTTACTACCTTAAATTGTAAACCACAACCCATCCGGAATATTTTAGTATACAAAATAAACAAGAAAGCATAGTGATAGCATAACCGGAATGAGCATAAAAGGGATCTATAGGTCTTTTAATAGTAAAATAGCCAGATTGCTTATCAACTGCTCCTTCTAGTAGCTGAAAACCATATGATGGTTTATCAATCGATCCATTTCTAGCGGAGGTTGAATTCACACGGGAATGGACTGATCCGTTAGTAAATTATGCAGGCTCGAGTGCAACCTGCATATGTATAAGTGTCGACTAAATCCTAGTCTGCACTTTTAGCGGAGAATAGAGTGAAGATAGAAGCTGGGCAGCGAGATCGTTAACATATGGACGGAGTACAGGGTTGAGAAAACTTACACAATACCGCTGTATCGATTACCCAGAAAGATATCACAGCACTCAAAATGTAGTTGGCGTACAGCCACATCGCTTAAGATAACTGCACAGTTCTGAACTTACGCGTCATGGATAACTAGTTGAAACAAACTATGTTACCTACCTCAGAACTGTTGCAGGTTTTGTTCAACCCGTGCAGTTGCGTGTCATTTCGTAACACTGGAAATTTTTTGTCAGTATTCTGAATGGAAACATCGTTTGGTAGTTTATGTTCCGGAGCTGGGCTTTTCTTGATCGCAGTTAATCGACCTTGTGCCCTAATGGGACTGACATGTGTCTCTGTGGAGCGACGTGTAGGATTGGGATCAAGTGATTCCAGTAGTTCATCCGTATTAGAAGAATCAATGGAGCTGGTTCCATTGCCCAACGTTGAGTCAACTGATTTCGTGACTCGGTTGTTAACTGCAATCAAACAGAATTAGCGCCAAAATGACGGTCCAATGAACAGGCAAGAATTCATAAAGGCCGTAATAACTTGAGGGCACATGCTGTCATACTGTGAGTCCATCGACCACGATACGCCCTGCTCAAGGTTATTTAATCGAGATTTGTTTCTCGACTTGCTGTTAAAGAGCAAATGCTTCCTTTGTTCTACTGTAATTTGCTTAACTGCGTTAAACAAACAATTAATAGCAATGAACAGATATATCACGGGATAAATGCAAGGGCTTGACAACTCCCGTAGGATGGTTGCGGTGAATAAAAGGAAATCAAAATATATGTAAATCATCTACCAAGCGTCTACCGAGATACACGTATTAATAAATAACGGTAAGGTAAAATAAAAATCATGTAAGCCTACAGAAATAGACGGGGTGAAATGATCGTTGAGGCAAAGAGTGAGAAAAGTAAAATATGGTCGCTTACCTATGCTCCGTCTCCTTAGATCCATGTGACAAATACCCATTTGAAGCGCATGATTAGCATAATCCATAATGACATGGTTTAGGTAAGAAAGTGCTAGGAGCGGAACAAAACACCCAATCAACTGTTTTTTGAAAACGTTCAAACTTATCGAGGATAACAATGAGTTTGGAAAACTTCTAAGATTAACAAACCCGAAGAGAAAAGTAGTTCTGTCGACAATCTAGACGAGTTAAATTTCCCTCCATTTCAAAGTTACCCCTGAGCTGCGTGTTGTGGCTAAGTTTCAGCAAATGACGGCATATGCTGTTGGGGTCACACGATATTTGTCACACTAACATGAGATGGCCGCGTAACTTTCAGTAACGTTCACTGGAAACTCCGAGTAACTTCAGCCTTCGCTGATAATGGTGATTGCGTAGATCCTTGACATTCTTGGTTGCCCTGCTTTGTGGTTTCTTTATCAAATTTAGATAGCGTTTCAACTAAGGTTGCCAAGCTTGGGTGGCGTATTCAACGTGAGAACGCACCTAGTAATGGTGCATTATTGGGAAGTTTGATGGAGCAACTCTCCCGAATGCCCTTTGCAGCATGCCGGCGAGCTCATTGCCTCCTTTCACAGTTACCTAAGGCTGTTTTGAACAGTTAGGGTCACTCTATACGAGTATACCAATGGCACGTACCTGGGAGCTGGTCTGCAATGCGTCTAACCCAAGCAAAAATGTGTAGTCATATTTGAGCGATGGGATAATGGCTCATGACGGTTAGGGTGAAATTCGCAAAATTAACAAAAACCTGTTAATCAAAGCGTGTGTGATACATGACCCACCAAGGAGTTTGGATTTGCATATGTGCAGGTATTCCTGTCCGGATAATAGGGCAGTTTAGATGTACTAATGCTAACATCTGATGATCACGGGTTATCTCACGGAGTGCAAATTTGTCAGGTATCGTCAAGGTGTTTTTGAACTGGGATAAGTTGGGGACATTAATTACATGTGCACTGAGGGCGTTCCACGGTTGTGACACTCGGAGGGAGAAAACGTTTCTTTGACATTCCAGTTAGCTATAATGGTGACTAGCTTAAACTGATGACCTCTTTGTGATATGTTTTTGCTGGGTTTCCAAAGGGATTTGCGTGGTTGGGATTTTTCAGCATCTGATACAACAGTATAAGATTGCCGCGTAGACGTCGTTACTGTCCGCTGTATATTTTGAGAGTTTTCATTCTGTGTGGGAAGGGAAAGAGGGACATACCTGTGACGTTCTGTGTCGCACCGTGTTTTGCAGTATCGAGCGCGGTGAAGTGGTGATTTTGCCACGGTTACTAAATTTGCACAGCGTATTCCGCTTCGTAGGCACCAAGCACTTTCGTTAGGAATGATACATCAAACTTCCAGAACGCTCTTTGAAGAAAACCAAAGTGCTGGGTTGCTTTCTTTGCTGCCTTTTCATTCTGTCTAAAACATCCAAGATCCTCTTGCACAAGCACGACAAAATCGCACTCATGAGAAACCCGCCCTAGTATTTGTGGCCCTAGGTGGTAGTTTGTGATTATTTTGATGGCGTGTGCACAAAGTTTGGCATTTGGCAGCGCTGAACTGTAACGTGTTTACGGTGGACCATGTGTAGACTTAGTCCAGGTCATCCTGTAGTGCTGTGTGATCCTCCACTGGAACGGTTACACACCATGTTTTAAGATCATTGGCAAATAGCAGACAGTTTGAAGACAGCACACTTGAGAGATCATTTATGGAGACCAGGAACAGGCGGGGCCCGAGCCCTGACGTACGCGACATTGAAGTTCGTTTGGTTCCCATAGGTCACTGCGAAGCCTCAGATTCAGGTGACCTGGAACAAGAAAGTTGCCCATTCATTCCAGAATGGGGTAGGCGATAACAAAAGACTGCAGTTTGTGCAGTAAAACGCGATAGTCCACCCGGTCGAATGCTACTGATAAATCCAGGTAGACTGCGTCTATCGCTACATCAGCGTCTACAGATTCCCTTCGGCTTGCACGAGCTACCAACAAATTGGTTGTTCGGGTCCGATTTTGGCAACATACGTGCTGTTCCGAAACGCAAATTTTGTTACGCTTCAGGTACTCTATGAGCGCTTCAGCTACAATGGACACGGCGATCTTGGAGAACACAGGAAGAATTGTTATCAGGCGAAATGTTGCCGGTTCAGCACGGCTACCACTTTTGTAGATTGGAATGATGATTTCGTGCTTCCACATCATGGGGATGTGCATCTCGTTAAAATAACACTGCAAGCGTATTGCCGACGGTTCATTTAAACGCATGGCAACAATTTTCAACGCCTTCGGGCGAATGCTGTCCGCACCCAGGGCACTGTATTTGCTCAGGGGCATCAGCCGCTTCAGTACTGCTGCGGTTGTACAACATATGTGGTTAGGGCATGATGGCAGCATAATCTGCATAGGCATAGTGTAGGATGGTTGCACACTTTGGACGGTACTTCAAATTGTTATCCAAGTACGTTGGCCGCCTCTTCTGCCGTTTGTGCTAACCAGCACGCTGGTAGCAGAGAAGAAATTCCGCGCATAACCCCTCTAGGTTTGTTTACTTGTCGTATAGCAGCTTAGGGTTAGAGCAAGCATTCACCACAAGGTCTTCTTGGTTGCTTACCTTTTCTTCCCAGACGAATTTGATGCAGTGGTCCCTTTGTGTTCCATAGACGTCCCAGTTGTCCTCGATCAGAGGGCTATGTAAGTGGGCCTGCATTCCACAGTCCTGCATTTTAGGAGTGACTTCGTGTTATTAGGTTGGTGGATTTTGTCTTTATATGTGCTTACCACGAGCCTGTTGAATCCGTTGACAAACACCCATTGGGCTACCACTGGGGACCAGTTGGCTACGCAAGATCAGCTTGCTGCACTAATGAGTTCGGACAGGTTACCATTTTTGGTTACGACGTAAGATTCCTAGGTAGGCTCTATAGGATAATTTGCACAGCACAAACATTGGAACACCACTGCCGATTGATCTCTGCGGCCCAAAGGAGTGCACGTTGTTACTACATCGATCTTGAGTTTCGCCTTAATAAAGATGGAATCCAAGATGGCCGGTTATTTTCAGTTCTGAAACGTGTTGGAGTAGTCACATGTTTGTCCACAGGAGAACCGGAGACTAGCTCCTGCAGTTCCGCCTGAAATTGTTCACCGAGATGGGTCGGGTTTTATAGGCCGTGTAAATAGAAGTCCCCTACCAAGAGAAGGTTGCTGTATGATCGTTGCAGTAGGGTCTTCATAGCAAAAGCTAAGTCATCGTCCATTTCTGAAGTGGAGATTGGTGGGCGGTAGACAATTGCAACTAAGCGGATGTCGTCCCGCTTTAGGAGTGGGCAGCCCCATAATGCGTCCACGGTTTGAATCCCAGGATCTCCTACGCGGTCGCTTAGAAAGTTGGAACGGTAGTAGAGAAATACACCTCCGCCCTTTGTGGTTCGTTCTTTACGCAAGGGTTATATACCTGGTAGTTTTATTTTCGAGTCGGTAATCACGTCGTTTAACCATGTCTCGGTTACCATGATGGAGTCTCAACACACTGAGGTCTGACGAAATCAAAGCTCGGCCAATTTACTGAAAATGCATTATGGCTTGTCTCCGTAAATGCAGGACATTGTACTGATATGATACCCGTGAACAAAATTTACAGACACACTTCGTGCACTACTTGAGGCGAAAGTATTGCTAACTCTTTAAAAATTCAGTACATTCGCACGTTCCCACTCTATGGGAAGAGTTGTCAATTGGTTGGACTTGATGATTGAAGGTAGTTCGTTTTAAACGCGTTTTGTGAATGCGCCCTCATAGTTTGCACTGCCAATATTTCGAGTAGAAAGGATGTGCAGCAGATTCCCCAGGGTCATATGGCCGTATAAGGCTCAGTAGTCCGGAAGCTCCATTAATTTTGTCGTTCCTTGAAGCTTTCACAAAATACTGCGATCTTCTCCTCCTGACAAAGAATTCGACATTTTTTATATTTTCCTCAACTTCGCTAAGCGCACAACCATACTTATCATCAAGCAGATTTGACAGTGTATAAAATGCGTAATTGTTAAAAAGATCATGATATTGCTGAACGCTAAGAGATATTTCCTCAGGCAACCTGTAAAATATAAACAGAATTTCCTGTTTCAACACGACCTCAAATCCCATCGATGTGCCAAACGCTTCTTCCCCATGTATTTGATTTTTGACGAATTCGACAATCCATGCTTATCTCCAATTCCGAGGGGAGTCTTCCTGATGCATTCATTACACTGTACTCCATCTCTCTGTTTTAACGTAAGTAACCTTCTCACATATTGAGCTTGACAAAACATGGCTACGGATCCAGCCTTTTTGTTTGAATGTAGTTATGTACATCCGTGGTTTCGGGGAGAACAGACATCAAAGGGCTTAGAAACGAAATAAACAGAAACCACAAGACGGAGATGAGAAGATGCCGTTGGTCTTGTGGCTGAATATTTTCTTTCTACGGAAGTGACAATGTCCCAGTATTTTTTCACCACAACATATACAGGGACTGCGCAATTACACCATCTAATTTCTACAGCTTACTTGACACTTAGACTGGTCACTTGATTCAAGACGTTCCAGCCGTATGTTAATAGATGAAAGAATGCGAATAACCGGTCAATTGTAGCAAAAATGTAGCAGATTAAACCATAGCAGAAGCTGTATGCAAAAAGCGGGTTCATCGAATGGTTTGTGCGTGGCATGAATATGGCTTTTGGGTTGATTTCGCAGAAGCGTATCTGGGAACCTGATCGGTAGGCTGTCATAACCGCAGGATGGTCATATGCCTGGTCGCGGTAGTCAATCTTAATTCCATTCTGCTGCATTTCATACAGAATCACTCCAGAAAGTTATGCAGCATCTTTTCAGTTGACCTCAATGAAGGGGCAAATCGACTCCTCTAACCTCACTTTATTTTCATCCATTTTCATGTAATGAAACACTTCACTCAATTGATTTTTATTAAAACGTCTGAAGTGCTATCAAAATTAAACGAATATACACCTTATCCATGAACTGACTTTATTTTCTCTCCCATCTGCTTTGCGAAATGTTCACAAATCCATTTTTTACTTCTGGAGACAAATGAGAATTGACGGTTTTTGTTTCCTAGCTGAATTGTTACCAACTTTCACGAAGAACATGGTCAAATTTGACCAACCTATTTGCGAATTCAGTGAATCCACTCTCTTTTCCAGATTTCCTTTAACATATCGCATGTTTTCTCGGTGACTACGCAATGTCATGTTCTGCCTTGCGAGAAACATGACAAGATGCAGTAATCTAGCTTGAAGTTCACGCTGTCGCTTTGTTTCCTTTTCTACAACTGATTGCTCCATTTTGTCAACTGAATTTCCTTCAACTAGCTAACTCCTTGCTGTTGCGAAATGCCTGTGCACGTGATTTGTCAGATCATGTTCACATGCTTTTGGATTTATGTTGCATCAGTTTTTGATACCGACATCATATGAAAAACAAGACTAATCCGTTGAAATCATCCTGCAACCGATACAAAACAGAGGGGGTTTCGAAGGAGACCACGCCATCCGTGTTCGCGATCTTCGATCACAATTTCGCAAATTCCGAAACATCCCATTCATTGTGAGATTTCTAACCCTAGCATTTGTATTATTTCTAAGTAGCGCCACTTATTGAATTCATGATCGAGCTGGTACGCGACAGTAACTCCGAGTCGGGCAAGCATAATGTGAATTTATTGGCCAATCTTAACAGGCCAATGACAGGTATTCATAAACTAGTGCTATAAACCTAGTACCAAAGTGAAGATACGTTTCTAATTCTCTTTAACTTCGCGCATATTCTGCATCAGTATTACAAACATCTTGTGCTGCATCCATGATGGCAATGTCGCTTTCTGTGATCCGGATATCAACTTTTGCAGTATTAATTTCATCTTCGGTCTCGGTTTGATTATAACTCTTCGTTTCACCACTTCCGTCACGTAAGTGATTTTTCTGAATTTATAAGTGGTATTGAACAATCATCTGTAATAAAAATGTCGCCCCCTTGTCCCAAACTGCCTGGGGCGGACCACCCCCGCCCCCCATAAGCTATGCCTCGGAAGCGTGGACAACACTTTTGGGGCGTGATAGGATGCACTTTCTCATCCTCCTTTACGGGATATTCCGATACCATACATGGTTTCTAGATTATTATTAATGTCGCACACCTTCTTGCAGGCATTTTTATTGCTCGATTTGGTAAAGAAACGTCAAAATACCGAGTGCGAAATGTTCCAAACCATTTGACTCACACATTCAGCGTCATAATCCAAGTTCAGCCGGATCGGGTAAACTCGCAATAGGACGCATCGGATCTGTGCTCTGGTTGAGTGCACAGAACCTACTTATCTTACCTTTCAACAATGTGTCCTGACCCAATGCCTATTAGTATCGCAGGTTGACAAGTATTGTCCGAATCCACGTGGATACAGAACCAGACACAATATAAATAAAGCTCGTCAACTGCAATTAGGTCACAACAAAAACCTCCCCTCGGTGATCTTGATATACAACTAAAAATGAATATAAAGATATCGCTGAATTTTATGCAAGTTTAAAATGAATACGATTACCGCGTTCACTGTTACCGTGGCGCGCTGTTGCACTAGCTTGTTGAATATTGCGGCCATCGTGTTGAGCAAAACAATAAACAACAACGTTCGCGAGCACTGTACGCATTATACAAAGACGTGCTTTGTGAATGCGCTCGAGGCTTAAATGTCACGGATTAAGGCTCTACAAAGGTTATTACTGAAAGAACTCGTCACTTTCAAACGAGTTAGATGCAAAAGATCTACTGCTGAATCGTTAGTGAGTTGCACCATGTACGTGCGAAGTCGTGGTATACTCAAGGTATGGTCTGTTTATCTCACAAGACATGAATGTTGCAGGCGGTGAACTAAGAGAAATCTTTCGACGTAATTAACATCGATTTCAGTAAAGCCTTCGCCAGCCTAATCAATGGGGTACTCTTATGCAAGCTAGAGTATGCAGCGTTGAAGGATCACTACATCAGTGGAACAAGGACTTAAGTTACACAAAAGTAGATGGTAAAGATCGAGGGCCATCTAAATGACTGTTATCCCGCTACTAGTGGAATACCCCAAGACAGAGTGCTGTGGCCAACTCTGTACCTAAGCCATTTCAACGATCTACCTGAGCTTCTTCGGTCACCGTGAGCCTTATTTGTGGACGACCAAAAGATAGGAAGGGTGATTAGCACATTTCGGCTAATCCGATCTACCACAGCAAGACCCCGACCGCCCGGCCATGTGTTTTGCAAGTCCATCTCCCAATCAACCCAAGCAAATCAACATTCATGTGCCTTGGGAAGGATGGTGACGTCCAAACATACTGCCTCTACAAACAACAATTGCATCCCACACCTTGCTTCAAGTACCTAGGTGTGCTGTCGCCCTACGATTTAAGTCCATGGATATTAACGACGGGTTATAAAGAAACAGACTGCACACGCGCTGGGTGTTCAAAAGCAGCATCTACATCTAGTCTGAAGAGATTGCCCTTGCCTTTCCGCTTGCATCACTTGCCTATAATCAGATCATCTGAATCGGGTAGTAGAAGGTCAGACGGGTGCAGCACATTGCTACCAGGCTCATTCTGAGTTCATGAGGATTGCCATACGAAGCTCAGGGTGAGACACTGAGAGTATTCACCGTGTCCTATCGTCGCCTGTAGGTCGACCTAATTGGGGACTACCGCAAGTTGAAACCGCCGCTCCACTTGCGAACATCATGCAGCACAAGCGGACACCGGCACAAGTCTGTGGCGCCGGATATAAGGCAAGTTCCTCCATTCCCGTGCTCCGAACGAATCGTGATAAATCTTTGGAACAGTCTGTCCGAATAATTCGTGGAGGTCAAATCTGTGCAGTAATTCCAAAGCTTGTTTAATTTACATTTCACCATTATTTGATTTAAAGAATGGTTGCACACTAGTAAAGACACAATACATTTGTGAGCCTATGTAAACTGCAAGTTGACATCATTAAATGGCATATAAGACATTGTAGCACGGTTAGTATTTCAACTGGTGGCTGCAGATTTCGATAACAGTTTTAATACTGTTCCGATGGAATTGTACAGATTTAAACTTCTACTTGCTTTCACAATGCAGTATTCAGTATTATTCGGATCCAAATTTATTACTCGGTAAAGTGCAATCTGTTGAGCCAGGGCAATGGAGGATATAGTGGTTGTACTCACAGTTATTTGTTTTCCGACATTCGTCGTATTTGGAAAGAAAGTGACTCAGCGTATCCCAACCACCGCCAACACGCACCATCACATGATTTCGGAGAATCTGAAAGTGGAGAGGTTAACGCGGAGTTGAGTAGTTGTCAACTGATCACCAGCATGCCGTTTGAGTTGAAGGTTGCTATCTGTTCAGTGCCATTTGACGATTCAGGTCATGTAGAAATGTTAGGCATTTTTCGAAATAACTGCGCAGATTTTCCGAACCAAGACCAAGTATGATTGCAAATTATAGATATGTTGAATATGCTGCAGGATCTCCCAAAGTGCAGTATTCAGCAAAAGGGGTGCTCGATTTCTCTAAAATCTTCTAGATGGCGTTGATAGATATCAACGCATCGTTGTCCACCTCACCCAGAAAACCGAAGCATACATAGTTATTTTGTGTCAACAATTTGATGAAATCGTGACGCTGCTAATGGGTCGTTTACACGTGTGGCTCAAAGAGGCATGTGCGTATGTGCTTGGCCTGATAGTAAGGTTTCCTTGATGGTGTTCATGGTTTGATAGCATCCTTAGATTTAAACAATCCAATTATTCGGGCTTTGGTTTTAGCGTCTCTGCCAGCTGCCCATCTACAGTACCGGTAGCTACGGTTTTGGCAAACCAGCACTCAGGAAAGCACGGCAACGCGACAGCATACCTCCGAACGATCCCCGTTGACAAAGTAGTTTTATTGCTTCTTTATATATACAAATACCTCGGATTTTATGTGGTACAAATTGCTCGACCGAAAATACGTCTAGCTACGTAAACTAGAGGCACATGAAATTTTGCCATTTCGAGGACAACACAAAATTCTCAAAGACCAAGTAACCGTTCGAAGTTTGTCGAAATCCCATTCATTTGTAGAATCCTTGAGCCTCCAATTTATGTGCACACTGATTGGACACAAATTGTAATCGTTTTTACATACAATGTACTCAAGGCAAGCCCGATAAGGATCGTTACTGGTTCTCTTTAGCTTAAATCCGTAAGATGAATTTAGGTAACTTAAGCAGAAAGGAATATAAGCTGTCCAGAAGGACTGTTCAATGTTTTCCTTTCCATGTGTTTATGATTCGCAGTGTCCTTATTTACTCATCACTTGATGCCTACATCTCAGAGTGGACAGGCGTTGAAGTGCGAGACCATATGAACAACTGCAAAATGCAACACGGCGATCGAAAGATTAATGTTATTTTGGAGATCAACTGTGCCCAAAAGTTAAGATAATAATTCACCATAGAATTATTATCTTCTGCTTCTATAAACAATTTCCCAAAGTGAAAGTCCAGTAAAGTAAGACGCTGCCTGTAAACCGAGAGAAATTTTCATGATTAGGAAGGATCGCAAGATAGCGCAACAACTAGCGGGAAGTTAAACACAGCTGGCCTGATTTCAAGCTCGGTTATAATTCACCGTTTAATTCAACCTAGTACACCTGTATCCAATGCACCACGATGTGTGGCACAGTGTGCGACCTAGTTAATGTCCAGGTGTTGTCAAGGCTCAAGCATACATCAACCAAACATCAAAGTCAGAGTTTCGTCTTATAGACAACGAAACCATTGGTAACATTGGTCCACACAGGACGAAGAAAGCGGATCCCTAACTAGCGTTTGTTCCTGCTTACTGCTGGTGGCAATTCAAAAATACTACGTCTCAAGACTGAGTGGTCTCTGGAGTGAGTTTGTGAGCACTGTGGACAGATTGTCCTAGTTACACTGGCTACAATGCTACGGACAGCAACGAGTTCAGACCTGCACTGAGAAAACGCAGCCGACAACTGAGACAGTTCGGCTTCCACAATGACTTGCAAGTGTCTGCTTGCTCGGTTCAAGCTCCTTGTGTGTGGCACTGCGATTGTGGATTCGAAGCGCAGTGCAAACTCACTTTCACACTTTGCGACTCACAGAACCCGTTTTAGAGTGTAACATTCCTAAGTGCATGGTGAGACAAGATTTGAAACAGATTACGCCTGGTAGTTACATTGTATGTGAACTTATTGCTGAATCCATTGAAGCCTCTTTGTATAGACGAATTGTGGTTTACAATCTCGATCTTAGGCGGAATTTGATTCGAACCTTCTCTTTATCAGTTCAAACACTGTGACCGTACGCCGGACAGTGGTCTAAAGAATCAAATGCGTGCCTTTCGATCCGGAGGTCGCGGGAACTGGCCTACGTCGTTGACGGCGGGTCCTTCGCAGTTCCCTTAGTCTACTTGCGACTGTTGGCGGTTCCACGGCAGCGAAGCATTTGCACTGTGTGCCAGCGTAATGCTGAGGCTGGGACCGTCTCAGAAACAGATAAATATTGTATGTTACCGGCACATGACATCACATTCTACTACCCGGGTTGGTACACACTTATACCCGGTAGATATAGATGACGTGATTACAATTCGGTCCCAAAATGTAAAGATTATCGGCGGCTACTCTTACACCCATATCATGAAGCCGTGAATAACAGTGATCAATACGGCCAATGACTTGATATCAAGGGCTTGGTCCACTAGTTTACAGACTAAAGACGAAAAGCTTTTCTTAATTTTCCCGGGTGAAAAGCGATTTTAATAGATATTGGGGAAAAGTCGGCAACTTGTTGCACCAAGTTCTCCTGTACTTGTCTTGATCCTACACCTTTGCTCTACGGGACAGACACAGCGCGTCAATTTTAAGGGATCAGCTTCTGCTTCAACTTACATCTTAAAATAGCTAGCGGCAGAACGCAGCACATATGCTGGTTAGATCATGTACTACCCAACGCACATTTTTAACGTTTACAACAGAGTGCCTATTACAGACATGCATTTTTATTATCTGCATTCAATGCGAAGTGGGATTTCATTGCCCCAACCAAAATGGTTTTGCTTCATTTACGTATTTGTATAAAATTAATATTAATAATACGTCTATTTCTTCTGATCCGAGCAACTATATCTGGGACGGCGAAGATTGGTGTGTACAAAATTTACCATGTACTTGCATGGGTGGTATGCATATGGGAAATATTGTGGCATGAGATTCATATTTTAACGTTTTAATGGATGGTTGAGCCTAAAGCTAAGCTTGGTAAACGAGGGAGTTTAAACCTTTTTGGGTGCCACTTGGAATATCTCATCCAGTGATCTCCCCCATTGGAATATAGTAACTAATGTATTCTAACCAAGGTAAGTTGCCAGTTTGTTACTAAATGTTGCCACCTTTTCACATGATCTGAGTCTGATTGGCATTTTACTCCAAAGATATATGGATATATGTCTCAACTAAGTTGCGGCCGCTTGTATATTTTTATTCTCAAAGGCAACATGCGAGGCAGTATACACTTAGGTAAATCGATCAATTCCATGGCGCGCTGAGACTTTGGTGACGAGATCCTGACAGATCCTTCACCCACTGCTTCCAGTCTTTGGCCTCGGACTCCTGCTCACTTAAGAGTCAAGAAAAACAATTCCGCGTGATCGGTTCGCTGATTCCTGGCGCACGGCCCCGTGCCTTTCGGTCCTAAATTTTATTGTTTTTGCTGAGTACCCGAGGCGTTCACCTGTTCAGGTGTGCACGTCCTGTCAGCACACCAGTTCAAAACCAAGCCATGATATACACCACTACTGATAACGTCACGCAGCCTCGGTCACCTCGCGGTAGTGAGGAAGCCAAAAGAGTGGTCTTAACTGCCGCATATAACGGGGTGGATAAATCAAAGCATACTACCATTGACGCCTCTCTGCTTTATTCTTACCTTGCACACACGCCCTCCGTGCCCTTTTAAGCTAACCCAGTAGGTTCTCAAATACAGGTCACCATACGAGCGGTTGCTTAGCGCAGTCGTATGCCTCCATGCAAAGCGCTTAAAATCGAGTGCGGGAACTTGTGCATACTGCTCGATTGGAACCCTAGTGAGGATTCCAAGAGACACGGCATTGGTTGCGATGGCACACGTACATTACCGGGATCGAGATTGCCGCCTTTAATGTGACTCGGCTCACTGACTAAGGCAAGCTCCATGAAAGTGGTGCGGATTACACGTTCTACTGGATGGAGAACGTTCATCATCATCATCATTATACATGTCAGCTAGAGGTGGTGAAACACCTCCGCTATTGTACCACAATACATAAAGAAAATACATACATACATACATACAATACATAAAGGAAAAATAAATACGACAGTTGCATACCAGCTGAGCTACCAGGAACGGATAGGCATCGTTCCGGTGAGCTACCAGCCAGCTACTAGGCAAACAAAAATTTGTTATTTATTAAGTTTTACCCTATGGAGAACGTTAGCTCAGCACGAAGTTGTCATGGGATCGGATCTGCCCTATCCGATTACCTAAATGGGCAGCAAGTGGGAGAGCCAACTGGCATCAGCCCACGACTGATTACAATTCGCCTGAGTCTCGGACGCTATAGGTTTGCTGCTTCTATTAACAGGTATGGTCCAGCATGTTATCCTGGTGAGACAGTGGATCTACAATCAGTTATCCTCCGTGATACGAACTGTGTAGATGAACGAGCGGCTATTCCTACTGCGTGATTTCCACTCGCGCTTAGGGAGTGATGCCGCGGTGTGGACATACGTAAGCGGTCCGGAGGTTATTGGCCCAGCCGACGGGAACGGTGACCGGTTGATCTCACTGAGCACCATTTACAGTCTGACGAACATAAACACCCAATCTGTACTCGGTGCTAGTGATATAGCAACTTGGACGCATCCACGGAGTGGTCACGCTGACCTGTTCGATTAGGTTACCATACGTCGACATAACATGCGTGAATTTCGCATCACACGTGTAATGCGGGCATCTGAGTGTGGCATTGATTAAAATTTGGTGCGGACCAAAATGTACATTACTTTTTGTAAAAGCATTTATTTCGCGTCTGCCATGAATCGGCAAGAACTTAACGTTCTTTTCCTGGAGAGAGAATAGAAGGGGATGGAGCTGGAGAAGGCCACGGCCACCCGCCTTTTCTAGGTCAAATGCATCGCATTGGTGGGAGGGCTGTGGCACCACATCTGTGAATAAACGACGACTGAGGCCGATGGAGCCATTGAGCGCGCAA